CTGAAGTAAGCTATGGGTTTCTGATTCTATATGAGCACTGCCCCCAAACCATATCCTAATGCATCAGTCTCCACCATAAAAACTTGATCGAAATCTGATAAGGGCAGGATTGGTACTATGGCCATGGTTTTCTTCAATCTCTTAAAGCCCTGGGTAGCTGTCTATCCCTACATAAAACTATCCTTCTTCAGCTGCTCCGTCGGTAGCCATGTTATAGTGTTGTATCACCTCAAAAATCTACTATAGTACCTAATCAACCCTAGGAAAACCTTTCAACTCCTTCAGACTCCTAGGTAGCGGCCATTTCATCATAGCCTCAATCTTGGCATGATCAGGCGGCCACCCCCTCTTGAGATACCACATGCTCAAGTACTCCACACTAGATTGCGCAAAGAAACACTTCTTCAGGTTAGTCGGTAGCTGATGCTCTTGTAACACCTTCAATACCACCTTCAAGTGCTCCAAATTCTCCTCGTCCGACATGCTGTACACCAAGATGTCATCAATGAAAATCAGTACAAGTCTCCTAAAGTATGGTCGGAACACCCTATTCATGAGGGACTAGAAAGTAGCAAGTGTGTTGGTGAGACCAAACGGCATCACCAAGAACTTGTAGCGTCCCTCATGTGTCCTGAATGCAATCTTTGGGAGATGCTCCCCTCTCATCCTGATCTGATGGTACCCAGCCTTCTATCCATCTTCGTGAATACCACCGCTCCACATAGCTCATCAACAACTCATTTATCACCGAAATAAGAAACTTTTATGGCACAGTCTCCTTATTCAGGGCCCGATAATCCACATAGAATCTATAGCTCACATCCTTCTTTTTTATCAATAAGACTTGGCTAGAAAAAGGACTCACGATCGCCTGATGATTACTGCCTCCAACGTCTCTCGGATCAGCTTCTTGATCTCATCCTTCTCGTAGACGACTGAAATTTGAATTTTGAAATCTAAAATTTTTTCTTCGAAATCATATTTCAATTGTCTGATCTCTCTTTCCAACACTTCTACCTTTCTTCCTTCCATAGGTACCCGGATCTTGTCTTTGATACCAATTTGATACCTCGTGGAAGAGGAAATAGCAAGTAAAAGATAAGAAAGACGTAGGAACACCAAAATAGGGTTTATTTTTGGATTATCTCTTCAATAATAAAGCAAGATACAATTGATCTATTATTCGAGAGGTAGATCAGCTCTTCCAAAAACCCCAAATGCTACTAGGAACTCACAACAATACTAGGAAAATAAAACTCAGCAATATCATAAACTAAATCCTAGACAACTCCCCCTTAAATAGCACTAGAACATAATAACATAAATAAAACCTTTCGAATCAGCATAAACATAATTTATGAAATCTTCCTAAATAATGAGGCCCTTCCTAATTAGCCTAAATATAATTTAGTAAACCTTCCTAATCAATTAAGAGCATAAAAACCTTCCTTACATAGTGAATATTAACTTTCATGGGACCCACAAGAGGGGCCGAAATCCCCTCTCTGTTGTTGCTCAGGTTCCCGCCCAGCAATTTTGTTGGGTTTGGCCGATTTGGGCCAACTAGCTGGCTCCTACCCTCCTCTAGCGTAACAAATCCCAACCTAAAGACATCCAATATTAGATATCAACAAGAAGAGAAAACTAATGCTCATATTATTTAGGACAAGGCATTCTCTTTGAAGAGGGGGAGCAGTGCCCAAAGAATAAGGAATAAGATGCATAGAAGATAGAAACAACAATATAAAGAAATTGATCTTATTATCAAGCATGTTTTGCATCTTGTTTGAGAATGGTAAAGAAGATGCCACTAAGATTGCAGAAAATCTACCAGCTAGTCCCCATCCACTTCTTAAGAATACTAGAATGATATCATGGATCTTATCCTAAAAGATGTGTAATGCATTGCTCACCAATGGATAAGACATGATTAGTGAAAATTAACATATCAATGATATTACCACTATATTCAAGAAGGTACTTTTGCAACATATTTCTCAAACTAAAGTACCATGTCTACATGTCTACTAGAGTAGTTTTCCCTCAATCAGATCGAACATGAGATGAACAAGTGGATAACTCCCAACCTAACTTCCCTTTTAGCTCCTCACAAAATTAATCAATACAAAGACATCCAAATCCAAGCCTCCTAATAAGTCTTGAGAATCCTTTGATTTTCCACTTCCCAATTCAAAAGACCTCAAATCACTCCTAATGCTTTCCCCTGCATCGCCTATCATCAAATAAAAATAGTTTCCACGAAATGCCACCTCAAACATCATCTTACCCATTGCATCACTAAGACATTTGTGTCTAACCACCTAACCAAAAGAGCAAGTCAATGTTGGGGAGCACTTACACACCTCTTTTGGCCTGGCTTCATTTACGTGTTTGAAGTCTATGCAAATCCCTGCTATCCTTTTTAACTATCACAAAAATTGACACCTAATTAGAAAACTAGCCTTCCTTGGCAGTTAGTAGTTACTCTACCTCTTCCCAAATTTCTATAAAATTTTAGGTTTAGTGGTTTCTTTTCTTATATCAAACAAGCTTGCTATGTGGTCAGATGTGTAGTTGATGGCAGGCGACATCAAATTCATTTATCGATGCTCATCTATTGTTACAATGGTTTGAGGTCCTATTTCTATTAGACATTATTCAGATAACACCTTTGGAAAGCCGACAAGTCTCCCCAAATTGAAGCCAGGCCATCAGTCGTGGAAAATTTAAGGTAAAGGTGGTACTTTGACACGATTTCCTTGAAGTTATTCAGCAGTTGCTATTCAAAGATTGTGTTGCAGGCAGACAACGCCGAGAGCACCATGAAGTCCTCCATTAAAATATCAAAGTACGTATTGTCTCCATGGTGACCTTGAGGCTCTCTGGCGTTCCAATCTCCCTAATGAATCCAACTAGATCACCATCAGGTGCATCGTAGAGCATCTAGCCTCTTCCTCTAGATAAGACGCTAGAAGATGTCATTCAGCGAGCTACCAAATATCGACCAAGATATGTAATACATCAAAATTATTCAGGACTAACTAAATTACGATGACATCATTATAAATGCTCTAGGGAGCAGGGAGATTTGCATCAATAAAAGAAAAGTTAACAGAATTTATTTCACAAGAGTTGAGATTCCACATACTTCAATAGCATGATACCTTAGCTTCAACACATCTTATAACAGCATCGAGGCAATCAATAATGCAAACTCCACCTGATCTACATAACACAGGCATCAGAGCTTAACCCTAGTCATTTTGTTAGAAACGCTTTGATACCAATTTGACCACAGTGCAGGAAATTGCTGAATTTCAGAGAAATTCAACAAATTTGGTGCGGATATTCCAAAATTAATAGAGAAAACAGCAAGATAAAGTCTCCAATTCAGCCAAAGAAAAAAAAAAAGCAAACGATACAAGAATCTTCAGTTCGAGATGAAGATTCAACTCTTCAAATCTCTAGCCAAAGCCTAGAGCCCAAAAGCAAAACCTTAGATCTCAAACTCAACCTCCAAAATCAAGATAACTCTAACCCTAGCAAGAAGAAAGTAATTAAAGCAAAAAAGAAAATTACATAATCTCTAAACAGCCCCTAATTCAAATTTTCCCTCCAATACAAAGCTTAAATTAGTGAGTTAGGCCCCACCACACTCCCTCTCTCTCTTTCTCTCTCTCTCTCTCTCTCTCTCTCTCTCTCTCTCTCTCTCTCTCTCTCTCTCTCTCTCCCTCTCTCTCTCTCCCTCTCTCCCTCCCTCCCTCGCTCTCTCTCCCTCTCTCCCTCTCTCCCTCTCTCCCTCTCTCGCTCCCCCCCCTAGTTCCGCCCCCCATTAGCAAGGGAAGGGGCATAAATAGTGGGTATCATTGAGCACATGGATGCTAAGGTGGACGGATATACTCAGTTATCAAGAAGAGCAGCTCTACTAGAAGCATGACTGATCCACACAACGACTCTAATTAATGAAAACTAACTAAGCATGGATGATTTGGTCTACAAATAACATGGCACCAAACCATTGGAAAATAACCGTGAGTTCTAGGTACAGTGATTTCCTCCATGCTAGGAGTTACTAAATGGAAAGCGCTTACAACTAAAGAGGTCATGATGAAAATGACACAATGCAACACGAGATCATAAGGATCTTATTTGGATAAGCACCAAAAAAGTTGACAAGAAGCATAAAATCTCGCAAACTAGGTTGAATCGAATACATTTATTTGAGCAGTAGTACTCATTGTTGATGGAAGAATCTTATCTAAGTGAAGGTAACCAAACCAAGCATTACCAAAGAATTTGGAAGATCCAAATTGATTGTTATGTTTTTTTGGTCAGTTATATAATCTTTTTAGGAACTCCTTTGAGCTGACCATTGATCTTCCATGTATATTATTCTGACAAGGGTGAGAGAAATCTGGTGTTACACCATCCAAAATTGCCCATCTCATATGTAGAAATAAATTTTGAGGTTGGGCAATTGCCTGCCCTCACCTATATGGGGTTCTGCCCGTGGTGGTAGAACAGGGAGTAGATGGGAGATAAGGTCAAGGAGATTGTCGGAGTAGTTGTGAAGATTGAGCAACCATACTGGCTCCAACTATCACCACTTCCAGGTTCTTGCCTCCTCGGCCTCCCACTCACTTGGTTCTTGCCCACTCCGCCTTCCTCTCACTTTAGACCAATGACAAACCATATTTATTTGAAAATAATGAACAATAATACAAAACATAGTTTTTATTTCATTTTATAATATACAATAACAACAACAACATCAAGCTTTTATCCCACTACGTGGAGTCGGCTACATGAATTGTTTTTCTACATTGTATTCTGTTAAGAATCAAATTCTCATTTAAATCTAATAAAGAAAGTATCTAAAATAAAAATTAAAAGTGATTCCAAACACCCTCTTAGTAAATCACTCTATTTTTTGTGATTAGTTAGAAGCTTCAGTTCAATGTCATGGAACAAATAACAGAATGCAAAATCAAAAATCAAACCGGATCAAAGTCCTCCCGAAGCACTCCGCTGCTTGGAGACGCCTTTTTCACCTCAGCTATCAAAGCGGGCATACCAGTTCGTTGATAAGATGCTTTCAAAGCCCCTAGAAAATCTCTGACAGGCGGAGCATTCTTAATATCTTTGTTGATCATGCTTAACGGTTTTCTCTCTCTTAACTGAAAATAAAATAGAGCAGAAGCAAATTCTTTAATATACCGAATTTTTATGAGATTACATACTCAGAACTGAAAATACCTGTGCAACTTCAACGTCCTTGTTCCAAATAATTTTTTCCAAAATGTTGCGAGGTGTATTTCCCTCGCTCTCTAAACGGAATTCAAAGGGTCCCACACTGTGTGCAGGAGGTCCATTGGGAGGTCGTCTTCTAATTCTTATGCCTTGATTTTCTAATATCGTATCTAGAGACTTTCCACTTTCCCACTCTCTGACTTCAACAAAATTTGCAATGAAATCTTTGCTTAGTAACTTCCTTGCTGCTTCAGCGGGGGACTCCTGTGAAAATAATAGCTTCAGATACTATTGTATTTATACAAATCATGAATATTTTAAATGTAAGTTAACAGAATGGAGGAAAGATGATTTTGAAATGAAGAACATGGCGAGAAGGTAAAGAATAACCAATCCAATTAATGGTCACTATCAAAATGGTCATCCACAAAGTTCGTAAGAACCCTACCTTACAAAAAATCCATTAAATCTGCCAAATCATGCAGATGGGCTTAATATTTGAACAGCAAGCAAAAATAAAACAAAACCTTTTCACTACCATTAGACCCAATAACCAATAGAAGAATATCACGTACATCATCAGAACTGATGCAGCGAAGAGGAACGAATCCCTTTCTACCTCCCTTCGAAATCCCGAATTTTAAATCCTCAAAACGCAAGCTTTTCCTGCGTCCTTTGGCTCCCAAGGCCAGCGGCACAAACCGAACCCTGGACGCATCACCGATCAAAATCCCCTCCATTTTCCCCCGAAGTAAGCGAATCGAAGAGAAAATGATTGCAAGAACTCTCCTTTCCAAGGAACTTATCAACGGATGAAAGAATTGAGAGAAGTGGTTAGCCGGAAAAAGCGAAGTAAGCTGGAAGCCAGTATTTTATTCACTCCCCAGAGGCAAAAGCGCAGTCACGTACTGCAAGACGACGGGTTCCCGACCTCAAGCAGCCAAGTGCCGGAATTGCAGCGCCCGCCCATCGAGAAGCCTTCGGATTGAATGGAATATTTCAAAACAGACGTTTATCCACTTGGTATTGCCATTAAAACCGACTTTATATATATAAATTATTACTATTTCAAAAAAAAAAAAAAACAAGCAAGTTAATGTAGCTTTCTTCAGGAAATAGGGGCTGCAATGATGGCGAAGGCGAAGGTGGTAGAGAAAGAGAAGAGGGAGCCGTCAGTGGAGTTCTTGAAACGGAAGGGAACGCGGTAGAATGCGTGGCCGATGAGACGGCGAGTATCGTTAGTGAGCTGGAGGATGCCTTTGTTATCCGGTGGGGTTTTGACGGAGAAGATGATGGAATGGTATTTTAGAAAGTCAAGTATGTTTTAAGTGGTAGATGTGTAAATAGATAAGTTTAGGTGTTAGATGAGTAAATAGGAAATTTTTAAGTGTTATGTATGTAAAAATCCCTAAAATTTAATAAGTTGGGATGATATCATTATGATGATTTTTATAGGTATTTTGAGATGTATATGTGAATTGTTAAGTATGTAGTGTTAAAGGTTTGGTAAAGAGGCTTTGATAATTTAGAAAATAATTTATAACTCTTCTTATGTTGATATAGTATGATTACTTTGTGCAACTCTTTATATTATAAGAAAGCAATTGCCTTTGAGATTATCTCTATTCCCTTGAAAGCTAGCACATCATGATTTATATATCAACAAAAAATTATATTGATCCGGCACAAAGCTCGAGACAAAGTTGAATAAAAAATTTTTGAAATTAATTCTAGGACCATCTGAACTCCAAGTTCATTAAACTTATAGTCGAACTGAACATCTCAAAAAGATGAACCCAACGACACCAAATTTGATCCAATCCGAATCCAAATGGGTATCAAGGGCCTAAAGCACGTTTGGAAAGTTCAAAATATAAACTGGATGACCAAATGATATGCATATATTGCATGTTTATAGTCGAATCGAGCGGCCCGATGAGAAGAATCCAACGAGCCTAAGATCAACAAATAATGACATCATTAAGGCATCAAATGCTCAATGAAAGGTCCATAATTAAGGGAGTTAAAATTTGTCATCAATCCGAAACACTTCCAACATACTCTAAATCTTTTCCCTATTTACTAATCATGCCACTCTTGAATAATTATAATTTGACCTCTCATTTTCACAAAAGGAGGGAAAGAAGACAAAAAAAAGGAAGAATGAAGAGACATCTGAGATCTCTCTTACCACCAAGCTCCTCCTCAACCATTGCCTAGTTATCGGACGTCGTAAGACTTCTGCCTTGCCACCGATCATCATCGGACTTCCATCGACAATTCTTGGACTTCCGACTAACCGCTAACCGACGCCAGACTTTTGTCTGACCACCGACCGACACCGAATTTTCACCCGACCACCGACTGACGTCAAACTTTCTCCAGGTCGTCGATTGACGCTAGACTTCAGCCCGATCGCAGTCTGTCATCAAACTTTTGCCCAGCCATAGACCGACCCTAGACTTTATCCTGGCTGCTGACTGACACCGGACTTTCACCCGGCCGTCAACCGACGTCATACTTTCTCCCGGCATCCTACTGTCGCTCGACTTTCGTCAAGCCAATGACTGTTGATGCATAGAGTTTTGCTTTTCTTTGTTTTGTTTTGGATTTTGAATGCTTATATTAGAAAGATGCACTCATTTGCTATTTTATTTAACTTAGACTTCATTTGGGACGGCTTTTTTGTTGCTTTCTAAAGCAGTTTTCTAGAACAAAAATTTTCAGTTCAAAAATTTTTTGTACTAAAGATGCTTTAGAAAGTAGTAAAAAAAATCGTCCCAAACGAAACCTCAGTTGTTAGAATGGGATGCTAGTTGGATACGCATTTTGGAGATCTTCAAAAAGGTCATGGTGATTAATTACACCTCAAAACATATAGGAACTTGAATATTTTGAACAATATAATGTAGTTCATATGGTAAATATATCTCTGCAAATGCGGAACTAATGTACTTAAATTTCAATCTTGGATCCAACACAACTAAAAAAAGCATCAAAAGATTATAGTATTCCTAATACTTATCAAATTTTAGTTTCATAGCTATAGTCATGTTTCTCATGATTCATCTAGTGACATGCACTCTTCTATTAGAAGCTTCTAGACATGCCCAATAGTAGTAGAAATATATTGGCTGTGAGATATGAATTACCATAAGCCATCTTTGAGACATTGTTAAAAATTGAAAGAAAACTTATAATTTTTTTCATATTTCAAACAATTAGTATAAGCCAGCAAACATCTATAATCATAATATATAGTTACATAGTGGCATAATGAAAGTTGTGTTCCACTTTGTTGAAACATCAATAGATAAAGACTTTGTGGTGAGAACTCTAAGCTGTTTAGACACTTTTACATACTTGTATAACTTAGTGGCTGACTCTTTAAGTACTTAAATATCTCCAACATATTCTGAATAATATATTGATCTTCTTTAAGCCCATCCTGAACAAGTATATTAAGGATGTGTGCACAATATCTAGCATGAAAGAAAAGACCAGGAAAATACAACTTCCCCTTTATTAAAAATTTTCTTTTATGTAGTTAGTTGCGTTGTTCAAAGTGATTTAGAAACTTTATCTTGGAGCTTCCATTTCAACCAAAAATCATATAGCATCACATATGTAAGTGCCACTATGAGAGAACTTTTATTACGTCTGGTGAACATACGTAGAGCTACGTTCGGCCGGTACTAAGATCGCAGGCACAAAACGAGAAATACCGAGTAAATACCAAGCAATACCAACAATAACAAGAAATACCATTATGTGAAGAAAAAATACCGAGCAATATCGAGCAATACTGAATTTTCCCAAAAAATACTGAGTTTTTTCTAGAAAAACTCGGTATTTTTTGGGAAAACTCGGTATTGCTCGGCATTGCTCGGTATTACTCGGTATTGATCTTCACATAGCGGTAATCCTCATTATTACCAAAGAATATCTAGCAATACCGAGCAAAAACCGAGTAACAATCCTCTGACCGAACGTAGAGCTACGTCCAGTCAGAGGACGTAATAAAAGTTCCACTATGAGATGTTTATTCAACAAATTTATGATTTTATTTTGAATATTTCATGTTTGGTCAATGAAATGCACAATTAAACACATATAGCCTATAGTTTGATTGGAGTTCCAATAATATGAAGTTAATGAAGCCATATGAACATTCTTAAGTCAACATTTTAGCTTTACTTTCTCACATCCATGCACTTTAATACAATCTTTTTTTATTGTATTTCATGAAACACCTCAAAAATTAAGATTTTACCATTTGGATAATATGTTAAACTAAGCATGCTCAACCATATGAATGCATATTCATGCACAATTATCATCTTGTCAATTATCTCTCTAATTTTATTGAATGTGGTTTTTTTTCCATAAAACATTAGGATTCCAAATTTGCATCAACATTAAAAGACAAAAGATTTAATCTTATTTGCCTTTTATCTAACATATTAACAAGTTTTGGACTCTTTAGATTTTACCTTCTCATATCTTATGTTGTGCATGACTTTAATTTTTGAAATTTTATCGCAAAACAAATACATTGTAAAAGAAAGAACTTCAATCCTCTTGCAAGTGGAATTAGGCTTCGTTTGGGACGGCTTTCTTTCTACTTCATAAAGCAACTTTCTAGCACAAAATTAAAAAATTTTGTGCTAGAAAACTGCTTTAAAAAACAGAAAGAAAGCCATCTCAAACAAAACCTTAACCTCCACAAGATACTCCCACAATAGAAATTTTATTTTCATACTGTTCTTGGGTTATATATCAAGACACAACATGCTCATCAATAGATTGAGATGCAGTTTAAGGACTACCATCCCTATTTTCTATAGCCACTTGTTGTAATTCACAAGTCAATACACATTGAGATTGGGATTGCTCTAGCAATGATATGGGAATTGATTAAAAAAAAAAACATCACATGAGCCGCAAATAAATGCATATACTTACCATGCATTAACAATTATAAATTTTAAATATACATAGAAGCTATCCCACTTGGTTAGAAAATATTAGAAATGATCTTTCTTTATTAGATTTAAATGAGAATTTACCTTTTAACATGACACAATGATGAAAAAAGATTCATATAACCAATCCCACGTAATGGGACAAATGCTTGATGTTATTATTGTTGTTATTATATAGAAGCTATCCCACTGTTAGATGCTAAAACTTATCAAATTAGATAATTATTAGAGTATATATCTCCAAGAGATGCAAGACACCAATAATCTAAAGTTATCTATTTTAATCAAAGAAAAATTAGTCAATTGAAATTTTATCCTATAGAGTCTTAGACCATTAATAAATGCATTGTAATATAACTTGAGATAAATAAATAGACAATAACAAAATAATAAATTTAAGACATGCATGAATGTACCTCAATACATCACTAACCATAAAAATCAAAGTAGTTGAACACTAAATTAGTTATAAGCCATTAAAATAAAATGTGAATAGATATAGTGGAAAAAAAAGAATAACATAAATCTTCAACACCTTTGCATCATTAATCAAAATAAGAGAGGCAATAGCTGATACATGAGAGAAAAAGAGATGTGAGTCATGTGACTCACAAGAGAGAGAAAGAGAGGGGGGCTAGAAAGTAGCTAAGGTAAAGAACAACAGAGATAGAAATGTGATGAATGAGAAGAGAAGAAATCAATTGAAAGGCTGAGACCCAAGGGTGAGAGATAATTGGATAAAAATAAAAATGGCTAAAGATCTAGGTTTAGGTCATTTGTGAGCCCTTATAAATCATAAGGGTGTTAATTGTTGTCATTGGAGTAAATCCAATGGCCATGCATCCATCCGCTAAGACCGCGACTGCTTATCCCGATTTAGATTTCGTTTGAGATGGCTTTCTTGTTGCTTCATAAAGCAGATTTTTAGTACACAAATTAAAAATTTTATATTACAAAGCTATTTTAAGAAGCATAAAGAATGTTGTCCTAAACGAAGCCTTGAAGAAATAGCAAGAGAAAATTATATAGACCTGCCATACGAAGCAGGTCTGCAGTTCATTTCCTTTAAAGAAAAGCATTCTGCAGCAACTCCAAGCCAAAAAGAAGTTTCACTGCTTCACCAAGTTAGCTTCCTGAGCCCCCTATGGAACATTTATATAGAACGGTCCGACGGTAACCAAGAGTGACCTCATGCCTGCAAATTCAACTATACATCAACATTTTACAAGGCATATAGTGTGGGAATCCGTCCTAGCTGTTTCTTCGGCTCTGGTAAGAGCATCAGTGAATACACTTAGGACTCCATTGATTGCTTGAAGATAAAAACCATAATTTTTAAATTATGAAATTAGATGCAAATATTGATTCCAAATTCAAAAAATCTCTAATTTCACACTCAAAATAACAGTAAACAAAAATTATCACTTTCTAAAATATGTTTTCCATTAAAAGCAGGCAAATTAGCCCTCAAAAGTTAAAAGCTTCACCAAGAAAACTAATCTTCCTGAGCCTAATAAAACAATTATAAGAAAAAGTATAACAATAACCACTGTTCACCAGACGTATGCAACCTCAACTACACCACCAGCATAATAAGATCAAATTATGGCTTCGTTTAGGACAGCTTTCTCACCGCTTCTTAAAACAGTTTTTTTTACAAAAATTTTAATCTTTAAACTAAAAAGCTGCTTTAAAATACAGGAAAAAAACAGTCCCAAACAAAAGCTATATCACATAGCGAGAAAATCACCTCTGCTTTACAATTTCTTCAGCTTTGGTAAGAGCATGAGTGAATACATCAGTAGCCCAGTCTTTAAAATCCTCCTGCACATAATGAAAATGAATTAGCACTATTCATATTTAGCACAACAGCATAGCAAACAACTTCTATGTAAAAAGAAATTATTATAACTAGCCATAATAAAAGCTGCTGATACAAGGGCAACTAACAAAGTGAATCGGCTCTCCAGTTCTTATGCGAGCATTAGGGCGAGCAAGCTCAGACTCGAAAGGGGTCCTTGGCCTAATTTCCTGGATTTCATCCCACTCTTCACGAGTAAGCATTCTGACTGTTCCTTGTTCAGGAGGAGCTTTTGCTATCTTACGCTCTAACCTTTCTTGGGCTTTGGTTTCATCATACTGCACAAAAATAATTTGTCAAATTAAGATCTATAAACTAATTCGAATAAAAAAATTAATAATAATGTAAATATGCATTACTAAGCAAGTAATATCTTAGCAATTAAATCTTTTAAATTTCAAGAAAATTTTGTTTTAGACCTTGTGTGCGAATCAAACATATTGCCCATGACTTCTATAGAATTCGTCTTCATACAACTAGTATTTGAAAGTTTCAGGACCGACCACAATGGCATAAAATCGAACAGTGCATCAATAAACATATGCCTTTATAGTAATGTTTAACAATTACACTTTTTTTACTTGAAGAATATTTGTTTTTGAAATTGAGTAACAAACATAATGCCCTTGACTTTTATATTATTACATCGTCACTAAAGAGTTGCATTTGAATCTTCCAGTGATAACCACCACTATTACCATACTTCAAAAAGGTTGTAGTAGCTTTAAGAAATTAAAGCAAAGGGTAAAGGTGATGCGAACATCCAAAAGTGGACGACTGGACGTTACTCAATGGAAGAGACGAAGATCAACGACCGAGATCACTCCTTTTTTTTCTTGGTTTATTAATTGTATTTTGATTTAATTTTGCATTTATTGTTTTTACCATTATGTAAGAGTCTTGTCTTATGTTAAGCCCAAGGGGCAAAGTTGTCTTTTTTTTTATTTCTTTTGTTTTGAGGCCTATATATATAGAGGTCCTTGCTCTTGTATCAGATGATGGATTATTAATAAAAAAAGGGTTTGCACTTATGTTCTTTGGAGAGAACTTGGGTGAGATTTTTATGAGATTTCTATGGGAGGGAATCAAAGCTTCCACCAGCCGCAAGATGGGTCCGGGCTCGTGACTTGAAGTCCCTTGGAGAAGGGAAACGCATTACCCGTCAGCTGTAGGATGTGTCCAGGCTCACGATTGTATCTTTCTTTCCATAAATCCTTTTCTCCTCCTCCCTTAATCGCTGGCCAAAATCCCCCACTTGCCACCACCCAATTCTCCCACAAACCCCTCCAAAGCCACAAGCCTCCTCCACTTTATCCATATCAACTGCCGGCCATAAACCGCTCCACCTCCATAGCCAGCCAACCACCTCACCCCTAGTCTGCTCCCTCCTTCATTCCCCTTCATTTTCCTAAATTAGGTTGAAGATAATTTGAAAAGAATTTTGAATTCAAATCCAATTAGGGGGAGTGTGAAGGAGATATACCTTGGGAAATACTCGTGGTTTGAATTTCTTGTGATATTTGTTGATTTTGACTGGACTTTATTTGGTTGTATAATAACGAATTCCACTCCCAAGTTTGAAATTATCCTTCACACTCCCCCTGAATTTCAAAACTAGTGAAGTATGGTTGTTTTAAAAAAAGGTAACATCCACGATTTCAAATACCTTCCTAAAAGTAGGGCAAAAGCATTTGTAACCTCTTTTTGTCAAGGAATAGCCAATAAAGACACATTTTGTGAATAGATATGAACAAAGGCAGAGCACCTAAAAACTTTAGATGGAAGATTTGATGATATGAATCGAGCATGAAGATAGGTTTTGAGTAGAGTTTGTCTAATTTTAGTACCCGAGTAGGTAACCTATTTATTAGGTATGCAGCAATATGAATGACTTTCCTAGCATAATAGATCTAGCAACTTCTAAGAGTTACCTATTTTTTTCTCTCAGCTACCCCATTTTGTTGAGGCATATACGCACATGAACTCACTTGGATTATCCCTTAGCTTAATAGGTATTCTCTCATTTATAGAATGAAAGTACTCTCTCCAATTGTCTGAGTTTAAGATTTAAATTTTTATATCAAACTAGTTTTGAGTCATCAGCTGAAATGATTTGAATATCCTTTCAACTTCAAATTTTTCCTTCATTAAATAAACCCAAGTGAGTCTAGTATGATCATCAACAAATATCACAAACCACCTTGCACCACTTATATTTTTAAGTTTTGAGGGTCCTCAAATATCACTATGGATCATAACAAATGATTTAGAAGGTTAGTAAAGAACAATTGGGTAAGATGATATGATATGTTTAGCCAATTGACAAGTTTCACATTTGAATAAACTTGAACTTTTATTAATAAATAAATGGGAAAAAATCTTTCCAAGATGCATAAAATTTGGATGACCTAACATATAATTTCACATGATAATCTCTCTATCTTGACCGACTTTAGAATGACTCTCAACAAACTGAGTCGTAATAAGATAATTCTTAGCAGCAATTAAGGATTTGGGTGTCTTGATATATTATAACCCAGAACACATCTCAGCACTATCAATCTTATTCTTCGAATCCAATTCACGAAAAATATATATATTATTGAAGAAAATTGTTAAGCAATTCTATCACAAGTCAATTTACTAATGAAAATCAAATTGTACTCAAGATTGGGCACATAAAGCACCAATTTAAAGGTGATAGCTTCTGTGCCAAATGCGGAAACAATTCCCAAAACTTTGAATGCTGAGTGATCAACAACCTTAACTACTCGTTTTGAATGATAAGGTTGATAGTCTCATGTCATGTGATATGATGCTCCTAAGTCAATAACCCAAAGTTTTGACTGTTTTATATCTGAGTGAGCATGTAGGCTGGTAGCAGGTTCTGGAGATTATTGGTTTGTGATGTTGTTAAGCAGCAACTTCAGCATCTCTAAATGTTCCTTGGTGAAAGGAATGGCTTCAACTTTGATGGATTGATCTTACGTTGTGTTGACAGAGTTCGTCTTGCTTTATTGTGCTAATTTGTTTGCCTTCCAATCAGCTGGTTTTACATGAATCTTCCAACATGTCTCATTTGTATGTCCTAATTTGGCACAGTAATCACACCATAATCTTCCTCTTTTTTATGCTGATTTTCAACATATTAGGGGTTTCGATTGCAGAGGATAGTAAGAGCATTTCCTTATTCAACATTTGAAGATCCTTGGAGGCCTCCCAACATGACCTTTCTTATGCTTTCTTCCCTTCAAACTTCAGAAAAGGACTCCCAGATATTTGGTAGAGGTTTGGTTCCCATGATCCGTCCTCTAATGCCATCCAAGTTCTTGTTCAAAACCATCAAGAATTTGAATATTGCTTTTGCCTCAACAACCTTTCGGTTAAGTGTGTGATCTTCTGAGCATTCCCATTGATACTATTCAAACATATCTAATTGTTTCCAATAACGGGTTAGAGTGCCAAAATATTGAGTTATCGTTAGGTCCTCTTGTCGGCAATCGTGAAGGATTGTCTCAATTGCGAATAGCTTGGAAGTGTTGTCAGAACTAGAGTATGTCTCTTTAATGGCCTTCCATATTTCTTGGACCGTCTTGTAAAAAAAGAAAGTTTACACCAATTTCTACATTCATGGAGTTGAAGAGCCAAGACATGATCTGATGATTCTATGCTTTCCAATTTTTGTAGAGAGGATCGGTTCGCGATGGTATAGGGGCATCACCAGTGAGATAGTCCTATTTCCCTCTCCCACAAATAAACATTCTCACCGATTGAGACCATTGAAAAAAATTTGCCCATTAAATCTGTGGTTTGTGATGAGAAGAGGAAGAGAAAAAGAGTTCTCTACAGATCCAGAGTTTTCGGTCTTTAAAACGATAATATTTGGGTATGAAGATGAGATCTCGCAATCCATGGACATGGTTGGGTTTCTTCGGTTGAAAGAGAAGATGAATTTTGGGCAAGGTTTGCCGGTGATTGAAGAGAGGCTATCGACAGGATGATAGAGAGTTACCTTCGACTGAAGGTTGGAAGAAAGAGAGGAAGCTTTGCCACCAGCACTCAGAGAAGGCTTAGGATTTTCCTAAGCTCTGATAACATGAAGAAATTGTTTAGGGAAATTGAATTCAAATCTTATTCCTTGAAATCATTACATATACACTCTAGGAGAATAAACAGAAAAAGAAATATATTTAATCTAATTAATTATAATAAATAGAAGAGGAAATTCATTTAATCTAATTGATTCTAATAATTATATCCCACAGATCTTGGTGTCAGAAGAGGAAATCTACAAATGCAACCCACGGTTGGGTGGGTTGCAACCTATAGATTGTTGACCTGTCAAAGTAGTGGGCCCCACCCTAGCTGTGTGATTCAATAGTATTAAATTTTGATCACATTTTAAAAGCATTTTTTATGTAAAATGACATAGCATCCAACATTCCTAATGCTACTAGATAGAATAATGGATGATATCACAAAAATAGATTTGAAATTCTTAATTTTAAAGAGCACCAATTAAAACAACTCATAATTTTTCGATGTACACTCAAAAATAGGAAAACTTATCACCAAATGATAGCTTAATAACCACCCAAATAAATAAAAAATTGAAACTCTCAAAAATTACAAGTTGATTAAGATTCACAAGGAAAAAATAAATATGATAACATATTTGACTAAAATCAACCACTTGCAAAAGCCAAAGATGAACGATTTAGAAGAAAAATAAGAAAATCATTCATAAATAGAGAAAAAAACACATCGCAAGTCAGTATAAGGATAATGATTTGCTCCGAAAATTGGTGTCGCTCTTACACCATGATCGAAAGAATCAACACCCAACTAAGCACTCAAAATTCATAAATTTGAATTTCCTTTAAAAAAAGTTACCATTCTACCTGCTTAGGAAAGTGGGTGTATTAGATTTGACTTATGTTAAACAAGATAGAGGTAGACATAAAAAGACTTTGTTAGAAAATATTATAAATGACATTTCTTTATTAGATTTAAATAAGAATTTAACTCTTAACAGACAAAATGGAGAAAAAGGATTCATGTAGCCAACACAGTGGGGTGGGATAAAGGCTTGATGTTGTTGTTGTAACAAATTATCCATTCTATGAATTAGAATTTTCTATTCAATAACATATATCCAACAAAAATTATAAGTAAAATATCATTAGACAAATCAATAATCATACCTGAAACTAGTAGCACTGTAGGAAACAATTACTTAAATATTTTTTTTAAAAAAAAAGAAGAAGCTTGGAGCTATACTTTCAAGATTTGCAACAAGTTGTGTGCACTCCTTGGATATCATCAAAGCCTATGTTTATTACTCCCATATAGCTTTCATTGTATGGCTCATATGTTTGATTCCTCTATTACATACTTGTCAATAGCCACATGGTGCTATAGCGCATGATGCAGCGCGTGTCATTTTAAACATGATGCATAATATATTAGATAAATATAATATGTTTTAATATGAAATACTATTAAATTAAAAGATAGACCATTATGATAATAAAACAATCAAAATGATGCTCAAGTTCAAGTAATAAATATCTCAATCACTAAAAATTTTAAATATTATAATCATTTTTTCAAGTCCATTTGTTTTGTAAGAAATGCAAGAATTCAAGACAACTAAGCTCAACTTAATAAATATTAACATAAACTATAATTTTAAATTTAAAACCCTAAAGAAAATGGTATGCGCTATTGCACATAGATGATGCAAATAGCACGCGCTATTTTGAACTAGTGCGTCGCGCCAAGCAAATGACACTATATCAACACATCCTAAAATTGGAATTTTTCGGAGCCCACACATAAACTATAATTTTAAATTTAAAACCCTAAAGAAAATGGTATGCGCTATTGCACATAGATGATGCAAATAGCACGCGCTATTTTGAACTAGTGCGTCGCGCCAAGCAAATGACACTATTGATGCGCCACATAATGTCACGCCATGCGCCATAATGCAAGTCATTTTGTGTTATTAAAATGCATGTCTATAATTAGTGCAATTTTGAACATCACATTCATTTTTAAATATTTCTAAACTCTCTTAAAACTTATATGACAATTCAATTAATAGAACTAATCAACCTATTTGACATTACGTTTGACTCAACTAAAGAATTTCAATTAACCCCCCTAAGAATTTTTTTCTTTAGAATTATCCTCATATTTTGAAGATATACATCCATAACCCCTATTCTATATTGTGTGGTCAAACTCTCTTATAAATACCTTATAATCTTGGTAGAAGATTTTTCTTTGCTTCAAGTAAAAAATATGATTGAGATTTGGTGTTTTAATTTTTATCAGTAACTATGAGTTCATATTCCTTAACAAATTAAGCCAAACAAAACCTCGACTTACAAATGAATAACCAAATGTCATTCATACAATATAAAAACTTGTTGTGCCTGCAATATTCATGGCGGTAGAGAAATATAAAGTTTAATGTCTTAGCGTTATACGAAGATCCAGCATGCATGCAGATAAAAGAGAGGGTGCAGTACTTATAAGAGACACCAAGAATTTTATGTGGAAAACCCTGAAATGGGGGAAAAACCATGGGGCCTAACCCAGTTTGAATGAATACACTAGTATTTGTAGTTGATTACAAATGAGACACTTCCTTGGGGGGAAGGCCTTGGCTTGATGTAACAAGTCTACATCATATGGAGTGCATTACATGATGGGAATAGGAAGAATTATTATTGACGTGTTTGTTTGGTCAGAAGGGCAATAGTCGGAGGATGACAGAGGTTAGAAAGATCGTAGTCGATGGGTGATGAAGGTCATAAAGCCCGTTATCTAGTGATGGAGGTTGGAAGAACCGTAATCAGCAGGCGAAGGAGGAAGGAAGGACCGTAGTCGGCAGGCGATGGAGATCAGAAAGACCGTAGTCGGCGGTCATAAAGATCGTTGTCTGGTTCATGATGGGAATAGGAAGAATTATTATTGACGTGTTTGTTTGGTCAGAAGGGCAATAGTCGGTGGATGACAGAGGTTAGAAAGATCGTAGTCGACGGGTGATGGAGGTCATAAAGCCCGTTATCTAGTGATGGAGGTCGGAAAAACCGTAATCAGCAGGCGAAGGAAGACGGAAGGACCGTAGTCGGCAGGCGATGGAGATCAGAAAGACCGTAGTCGGCGGTCATAAAGATCGTTGTCTGGCGACGTGGTCAGAAGGACCGTAGTAGGCGGGAGACAGAAGTTAGAAGGACTATAGTCGGCAGACGATGGAGGTTGGAAAGACTCTGGTCAGCGGGCGATGGCGGTCATAAAGATTGTTGTCTGGCGACAAAGGTAAGAAGGGCCGTGGTCGGCGGGCGACGGAGGTCGGAAGGACCGTTGTCGGGTGGAAGCCCAAGAATAATTGAAAGTAGGGTGGAAGTTCGATGTCAGTCGGCGGCCAGACAGGAGTTCAACGTCAGTTGGTGACTGAGCAGAAATCCGACGTAAGTCGGTGGCCAGACAAAAATCAGGTGTTAGTTGGTGGCCGGGCATAAATCTGACGTCAGTTGGTGGCCGGGCATAAATCCAACGTCGGTTGGTGGCCGGGAATAAATCAAGCGTTAGTTAGCCGGGAAGAAGTCCGATGTCAGTTGGCGGTCGGGCAAAAATCCAACGTCCGTCTGTAGCCAGTAGGAAGTTCAAAGATTGGAGGAAGTCCGGCGTCGGGTAGAAATCCGGGGACGGATAGAAGTCCGGTATCGGGTAGAAGTTCGACGAAAGTTCAACAACGGGAAGAAGTATGACAACTGGCGAAAGTCTGACATCTGGTAGAAGTTCGGCGAAGGGCGGAAGTCCGGAGTCGGGTAGAAGTCCAACAAAAGTTTGGCGATGGGCAGAAGTTCGGTTACAGGCGGAAGTCCTGTGTCGGTTGGTGATTGGGTTGAAATCCGGCATCAGTAGGCTGTCAGGTGGAAGTCCAACATCGATCAGCTTCCAGGTAGAAGTCCGGCGTCGATCGGCAGCCGGATGGATGCTCGGTGGTGGTGATGGAGGAGTCTGGTGGCAAGAGAACTCAAGTTTCTCTTCTTCCTTCTCTTCTTTGCTTCCTTTGGGCCCCTTCTTCCCCACTCCCATGAGAAATGAGGGGTCAATTTATAATTTTCTAAGAGTATCATGGCCAATATATAGAAGGAAGATCAAGGGTAAATTGGGAGTGGTTTGAATGGATGGCTAATGTTGAATCCCTTGATCATGGACCGTTTATTAGGTATTTGAATGTCTTAATGATATTAGAATTCGGCGATCTTGGGTTCGTTGGATTTGACGCATCGAGCCGCTCGATTCGACTATAAGCATGTCACATTTGGAAATTGTTTGGTAATCTAAATTATGGATTGAACCTTCCAAATATGCTTCGGGTCTTTGATTTGGACTCATTTGAGCTCGGATTGAGTCGAATTTGGTGCCGTTGAGTTCGTATTTCCGAGACATTCAGTTCGACTATAAGTTTGTTGAAATCGGATTGTCTTTGATTTAATTTTTGAATTTTTCAATTTGATTTTGCCTCAAGCTTTGTGCCCGATCAATATAATTTTTTGATGATACATCAAAAATAAACATCTACATATGAGAAAAATGATTGATTTCAAGCAACAGGATTTCACCTACATTGATCAAAGCCACTCATGACAAAGAAACAGGAAATAATGAGCAGCTAAATGCCATACATAAAACAGAACCAGCTATCAGCAACAGTATCCCAAGAAACAAAGTATATTTTACTTAAAGCAGTAAAAACGCTCATGAACATGATCAAATTGTTTAAATCACCATAAAAACAAGACAATAAAGCAAAAATGGACTTCTGCAGGACTTCGTAAGCATACCATCATGAGGACTTTGGCAAAAAGGGCAATCGCAACTGCAGTGAGGATCATTGGCATGGTTGCAGTGTCCAGCCAACTAGAGGATTCTGGCACTTGAACGAAGAACTCATCATGGCTAGGATTTCTACGCCTCTGCCGGAACCGTTCTCGCTCCAGGATTCTTGATCTTAGGATATCGGCTGGGCTATCAGCAATTGTAGCCTGTATTGGCTTCCTAGAACGGAGTATTGAGCGCAAGAACATCATTTAACTTCCCACAAAGAGAATGGTTGTGCTACTACACATGGGACAAAGATTGAAAAACGGTTATCTATGCTTGTCGTCCCCCTTTGGTCACGACTCCACCAAATTTAGGACCTGTTTGCGTTCAAGCACTTAGAGCTCATGTAGTTTAATAATGCAGAGAATGCAAATGCATTGTAGTCTGTTTTATCTAAAGCTAATTGTTAGGATGTAAAGCAAACATTTTGAATCTGCTTTCATATTCAATTTGAATTAAAAGAAAAAAATTATGAAACAACATTTCATTCATGTTTTGGATAAAAGAGTATAGAGTACTGTACTTCTTAAAATGCAATAGCAAGTTTACCTCATATGCAAATCTATACTTCTTGATACTCCGCCCATATTATTCATTCAAGATTGCCACAAATAAAATGACGGTTGATAGTCTACTTAAATAAAATCTAATTAAAAAAAAAAAACACATAGCATTACTACCATCAAACAGCAAAGCTTACACAATACAAAAATCAACTGCTCCACCTTCATTACCATAAAATCAAAAGTAAATGGGTATGAAGTAAACGTTTATACATCAATAGTAAATGGAATTAAATAACCTGTTGCTGTTCCATGACTTTGAATGGGTACAAGAAAATACAATGAAGTTAGAATTAATTAAAATATAAATCCAAACAACTTACTTCTTACTTCAAAATTTATACAACAAAATTCAATATAATTTTGAAACTTAAATTCAAAAATAAAATAAAATCATGAAACAAAATAAATCAGATAGGAAACACTTGTAGATCTCAAGTATTTCCTATCAATCTTCGGAAAACAACGAGAATTATCCACAAAAGTATGCACAAAACCACGAAAACAGTAGATAATTTGTATTATTTGATGAAAGGAAAACAGAAAATAGCAAGATACAATTGATCCTCAATTCGAGAGGATTGATCTCTCCCAAATCTCAAGACGCCGCTAGAGCCCAAAGAAAAACCTAATTCTAAGAGATCTCAAATTTCAGACAAATTCAAGATCTCCTAACCCTAGGAAAACAAAGTGTTTAAAGCATACAAATCAAAAGGAAATCCCTAAACAGTCCCTACATTCAAATTTCCCTCTTAATCCTCCAAAATTCTTTCTTATTTGGCTCCCGAAAGCATGCGGATCGAGCGGCTGTAGTAGGAGACGGAGATATACCCGCCTCATTCGCGTCTGGGCCGGTCCCACGTGGACCGGTCTAATAAAGTCATGGTCATTCATTCAGTTTGATCAATGCTAAAATAGCACTAAGTTGATATTCAACTAAAACAAAACCTGTTAAAAAAAAAATAATAGCATTTAAATATCATATAGTTTAATTTTTTTATATCATGGATAAATAAGATTATAGAGTCACCTTAGCTGATTTGGTACATAAAACATCAGCCTCTCGATGATCTTGTTAGGAGAGTAAATGTACTAGATCAGGTCTATGTTAATAAGATAGGTAGACGTAAACATAAAAAGATATTGTCAGAAAATATTAAAAATGATAATTTTTATTGGATTTAAATGAGAATTTAACTATTAATAGGACATAATGGAGAAAAAAAATCATATAACCAACCCCATATAATGGAATAAAGCCTTGTTGAAAAAAAAATTATGTAAATGCAAATTCTTTAAAATAACCTGTTTATTATTTTTCTAGATAGATTTATAAATCTATATTATGTATAAAGGCTGATGTAGTTAAGAATCATTCAATGCGCGCAATTAACTTTTAATCTTAGTACAAAGAGTGACATCGCAACTTAAGATAGCATATGAAATTTATTTCCTGTTTCAACATATTATAAAAAGAAGTTATTTCAAATAATCATTACATACAAATTAAAAAAATAACCCACTTAGCTATTGAAAGAAAAATATTGAACATAAATGCTTAGTGCATATGTATTTTTACTAGTTACTGTAAATGTTTATTCAATCCAATAGGCGCACCACAATTTAATAAAATCATAACTGAAACCATGTACACAAATGACTTATGATTCTCTCATATTAGACAATAACAGAGCAATAATCTCATTAAAAACTGCATGCACCTTTTGAATTAATACTGCTGGCAGCTTTCTAGGGCCGGCTTTGCAATCTATGAGACCGCAAGCTGGCGAATCCTAGCCATTGTGGTGGGAATGAAGGATAGGAAATCCATCCTGGAATTCAAGTGGAATAAATATTGCAAGTACTAAACTATCTTTCTTTATTTCATAGAAGCTTACATAGGAACATGGTTAATATTTGTATATTTTACTATATTTCATGTAATTACGAAATAATTAGTTGATTCCATAGATAGAATCTTCATGGTATCATAACATTAGGAAAAAAATTCTTAAGCATTACCAATCTAGCAATAGTCTTCAACGCATGCAATCCAGTAGAAAGGCACCATCGCATCCCACTACAAAAACTATCGTCATTGTTCCTACCTAACAATAGCTGCAAGAAGAAACACGGCCAGCAAGAAGTTCGCCGACAGAGTAGTTGAACCCACTGCAGCAAGCTTCTAGCAATTTGTTTCCACCGTCAAAAACAAGATCACCACAAGCAAGCTTCAAGCAATTTGTTTCCACTGCAGCAAGCTTCTAGCAATTTTGGTGTTTTTTCGCTCAAATTGTGTTTCCGTTACTGAAAAACGTAAATAACTTTGTATTGGCAAAACTTTCACCACGTAACTTTTTGTATGTTAAAGAGATCATGATTATGAGCATTTTTTAGTATTTATTTGAGATTTTTCATATAGTGATTTTGAAAATACAATGATTTTTGCCTACCCCAAAATTTATTTTAACGTCTAAAAATAGTAGTGCGGTAAAATAAAAGTCTTAAAATATCATTTTACATAATCCCTGGTAATTTGGTAATTTTCTGAAAATGTGTTTTTTTTCCAAATAGGATTCTTTGTTATATACCATTATGACATTTTTTTAGCATCTTCTAAATTAAGCTCAATTATGCACTATTTATTGCAATGCATTGAAAATAGATGTGGATATGTGCTTGAGTAATAGCTGGTTGTTATTACTATTATAGTATTATGATAATAATCTGCGTGTGTAAAACAAACAAAGACTGGTTGACCCGTAGGTTGGAGACTAATTGACATGTACATGAAGGTGGGCCGACGGGCTTTCCTTTAAATACTGTGGTTTGGTGTTATTCTCTACTAATTCACGTGATACACTGATTGAGATTTATAAGGAGATTATTACTGTTTTGACGGGCAAAGGGTGAAGACTCTATTTACTGAGTCAACGGTTTACTAACATTGATACTAACACTGAAAAACACCATGATAATCAGGGCTTCTGCTTGTTTACTATGACTACTGAAATGCATATTTTTAAGCATTTTTCTTATTGTACGGATTTATTAGTACTTCATATATTTACTGTTATTGTATTATTCTACTGCTCCTGCCACTGGATTGTTACTGTTATTGATATAGATACTTATAATATTTAATACTACTGATTTATTGTACAGATAATAAACATGTGATATACTGAGCATGAGAATGAGATATTGATTTAATGTTGCTGATATAGAATGCCTAGATAGCATGTGCACATTTCAATAGCTGATATACCATGCGTAAATTCCTATATGAGTTTCTTACATTGATTTGATTTCAACTGTCTTTACTGATGTTTTGATTCGATGCTTTATCCGATTTCTTTACTGATTGATATTATTGATGTAGCAATTACTTTATAGATTTGACACTCATACTAGTTTATAACTTTAATAGCTTATGTACCATAGTGTTTTATTGCTTACAGATTATATTCCTACTGTGTTTGAGTTTTATTATTCTTGGACTGATTTAATGATCATATGAATACAACTACTATAATTTGATTGTTGACAAACATATTTCTCCTTCACCGTGCTTTGAATTTAGTTATAGATTTTGGTGACATGCTGGACTTTTTAAGCTCATTATATGTGGTTAAATGATTTCAGATCAGGGCATGGGAGCATGAGTGTGAGGCTGGTCAGATTCTTCAGGTTCTGTTTATTTTTATTATAGTCATGAGTAGTGTATATGATTTTTGGGAATGAATATAGATGTCTACATTGATGTTTTAAATTATAGAATATGTTGTGTTGTTTATTACTAATAGATGACATTAGATAGATCTGATTGTTGATTATTTAAAGGATAAATAAATAATTCTTCCAATTTAAATTTTGGGGCATCACACAAACATCAACGATTATCAAAGTTTTAAATATATATTCAAAATGAATAGAAAAAAATTCCTTATTTGATCGCATATTATGAAATCTTTCTTAAAAAGGAAAGGCTAAGCCACTTTTGTGAGATGGTATTGATTTTGGTGCATGAGATGTAGAAGATTCCTCAATTATGTCATGGCTGTGGAATTCAATGATACAGAAAATCAACAAAATCCAAAAGTTCCTAACCACAACCAAAGATATATGGGATGCAATGAAGCAAAAACATTCAAAGCTTTGTGATGCCAACTTAGTTTATGAAATTAAGATAAAAATTCACACCACTAAGCAAGATAATATTTCACTTACCAAACATTAAAACAAAATAAAAAGTTTGGGGGTCAAACTCAATGTCTTCTAGTGTATTAAAATGAGATGCAATGAATATGCTGCTATGTTACGAAATTTTATAGGAGAAAAAAATTATGAATTCCTAGTTGCATTGAATAATAAATATAATCAAGTATCTAAATACTGGAAAAGATGCTTTCCAATCTGAAGGAACTGTTTTCCATGATTAGAAGTGAAGAAGAGGGATGTCGTGTTATGTTAGAAGCGCCATCCATTGGTGAGAGTACTTCTCTAAGTGCTGTTCCTACCCCAAATGCAAGGAGGAATAAACCATACAAGATCAAATAGAATCCATCATGGTCCAATAATCAAGAAGATATGATCTACAATTATTGTAAAAAGCAAGGAAAACAAAAAATCATCTGGAAACTCAAATTAAACCCTTGATACAACAAAAACAAACCCTAATACCAAAACTAGTTCAGACACGAACAAGTCAACACCACTTCTATGGAAGATAAAATCATTGCATAGATAGAAGAGATAAAGCAAAAAAGAAATAGAGAAACTCCACATTTGCTTGACAAGATTAGATAAACCAATGGATATGTGCTTTATGACTCAAACATATGGGTATTATACTTTATACCTCTCATGTGCTTCTAAAAATAACTAAACCAAAATTTGGATAGTCAACTTAGGTGACAAGCCATACTCTTGATAAGTTTAGATTAATCTGCGATATACTTCATGGTTAATTTTTCTTGAGTTTGTTTCTTAAAACTCTCATTTGACA